CTGGACATTGTATATACGATTGTAGAGTTGATCAGAGTTACTTGTTGAACTTTTGATAGCCCAAAAAAGAAGAGAAAAGAAATGCTTAAGCTTTCGGGTTGTGCAGAATAGTTAAATTTATGCAAACCTGAGAGTTCTGAAAACTTAAAACACATATATTAGAGAGAAGCAGAAAGGTTTTCCAAGATTGAGACCCTAATACCCTTTTTGAGTTAATCTTCTTCATATTTTCTAATTGTTCACGGGAATACTATGGAGTTGTTTACTTTATCATCAGTTTGATGAAGAAAATAGTGAAAATCACCAATCCATGTTTCCAAATGACAGTAGGCGCTTGTAGGATTTTTCAGGCAACAATGGGGATGCGGGGAATAATTGGCTCTAACACTAATCTTCTGCCAAGTTATCATGGCGAAGGTCGACCTTAAACTTAAATCTGGATCCTAAATTTAGTTGGCCCAAGTACCAAGAAATTAACAAAATATGAATAGTCAAATGCTAAAAACCAGAAAAAAAAAAAAAAAAAAAAGGCATTGCCAAAACTCCTCAAAAAGGCAAATGTAACTGAAACATTACAAAGCCCTGTCATGGTCCAAGTCCAACATTTCCTCTAACGAGCAACAAACAAGCAATCATGTTTTGACCATGAGCTCATGACTATGGATGCCATTGAGGTTTGCCCATCAAGGACCATCAACCAAGTCCTAAAGCCGACAACACTTATGCAATTCCTCCATGCACGCTTTGAAGTACAATCTTTAAAAGTAAATTTTACATATAATGATAGTGCATATATTATCACGATTGAATGTATGACATATGAGCAAAATTTAGATTTTAGTTTTAAATTTAAATGAGTTGTCATACATCCAATGGTGATGGTATATACGTTGTTAGTGTATAAAAAGATTAATCCTATTCTTAATCGCTTTTTATTTTTGGGTAATTCATATTTTACATCATTTTTGTTATCGCAACATTTGCCTCCAAATTAATAATATATTTTCCCATACAAACTAGTTTGCAATGTGAGACTAGGAAAACAAAACGAAAAATCAAAATAATACAATTAATGTTCTAATTACTAAATTTGCTCAAGTACCACAGCTAATTTCTTCTAAATGACATGGAAAAATTACTTCTCTTCCTAACCAATTTCTTTTCTTTTTTAAAGAACAACAGCCCAACTAGCAAGAAATGGAAATATATATACAGATCGAGTGTTTGAATGAAGCAAAGTTGCTAGAAATCTGTACTTCTGAGTACTTGACCGTGCACAAACACCAATGGTCATAACAAAATATTTTTGGACTCAAAGAGTATCTATGCCGAATCGTGAGGGAGACAAATGGAGCCAGAAAAGCTCAGGAAGAGACATATTTCAGTATTATATAAGTACTATATATGTGCTACACGCAAAAATCTCAGCGCTTAATGTGGAGTCGCAGAGACCGTGGCTGATGTTCTGGATGCTTTTGATGCCGAGGCACGGCGTTGAATGGAGATACATAAATGTTTTATAGACACTAAAATAAATTTGATTTGTTGGGTGGGAACTGGGAACGGATAGGGAGAGAAAAGGGGCTTCCTTCAAGAGCTCGAATCTCGACCCAGAAATGCGTATAAAAGAATATGGTCTTATTTTCTTCTTGTTTGGTCTCTGATTAAAAATTTCAAGAGTTGGTTTGGACCACTGCAATTCAGGTTAATGCATGCACGTCCATGCAGAGCTTTTTTCTTTTGTGCATGCACCCAAGACAAGAAACCATTTATTTGCTACAACACAAAGCTGAGAGAAGGGATAAGGGATTGACTATCCTTAGCTTCCTCTCTAAACTTGCAAAATGTTGAATTAGAAGTTGACGCTAAAACTGCTCTACACTTGCTTAAATCTGCAGATACCTCAACTCATGAGTATGCTTCAATTATCTTTGATTGCAGGTTCCTGATCTCTGCTCTGCCGAAAGTCACACTTAGACATGTTTACCGAGAAGCAAACTAGTGTGCTGACAGATTGGCGAAACTGAGTGCTCAACAAGACGGGAATTTTGTATGCTATGAAAGTATCCCTTATGCTTTGAGAGGTCTAGTAGATGCAGATCTTAAGGGAATTTGTTTCCCGCGTTTTGTACCTATACCTTAAGTTTGTTTAATATATAGTCCCTTTAATTACCAAAAAAAACAAAGCTGAGAGAAGGCTGCTGTTGATTTTTTTTTTTTTCCTTTTTCTTTGGGTTGATCTGCACGTGATAAACTGGTAATGCCATGTTTGTAGCAAAAGTGACCAAACATGTTAATACTCTATTTTCTGGTCTTACCAGAATTTTTGGGGCTAACCCTTAATTGGAAGATTGAACTCCTATGCACCATCGTCCCCGCCCCCCCCCCCCACCCCCTTTTTTTTTGTGATTGGTTGGTTTTATCTTTCAATCTTAGGATTTGGAGGTGCTTAAAGGTACCTTATGGCTTACCTTTACTAGTTATGTCATCCAATTTAGGAGGTAAGAAATTGATGTCAATTTCCTCTAACTCAATCTGTATGCTTTTCTCAATTTGCCAGCTCTAATTTTAGATCTGATGAGCCAAAAGGGAACGAATGATATGGAATCTATGAATAACAGAATAAGATGCTTTAGTTTTGCGATTCAATATGAGAATAATTGATATTTATAAAAAACCTATTTTAGTGAGTATTCGTTCTGATAGTGGTCAACTTAACATTTAATTTTTATACATTGACATACTCTATGAAAATGGGACCATTGTATATGCACGTGACATATTTACATATATTTTAGATCAATTTTCAAAATAGCATGATAAGTATCTCTAAAGATGAAACATTAGAATTAATGCCAGTTTTTGGCTTATTTACCGAAAAGAATATTACATTGAGCAACTAATTTTGTTTTTTTTTATCTTAGCAACTGAAGTTACGTCACATGGTTTCCATCTATCAAAAGAAGCGTATGTTCTTGCTTTTCTACTTCTATGTTTATTTAGTAAACGTAGTATCAACATGCAACAATCTCATTAATCACATAGATTCAATTCAAGTAGATTAAACATCGGATGTCTAGATGATAAACTATGCTTTATGTCTAGAAATCAAGTAGCTTAGTCTTTGGATGTCTAGATAATAAACTATTTTCTATGGAAAATTTGTCTCTTCTATAATGTAAATACCATAATTCTGGTTCTTCTGCTCTTTTTTTTTTTTTTTTTTTTGATACAAATACAATTCTTTTTTTTTTTTAACAAAAACTGGCAAGAAGATATTGTTTTATTTTTTTTGTGATACATTTCTTGATATGATCTATGTTGTAATTAAGAAAAATTATTGCTAACTAAGTCTATCTAGAGTACCATCAATAGAGAAAATTAAATTTATTAGTCCCCTAATAATTTTTGCTACAATGTCTAATTGTAATCAACAATTAAGTAGTTTGGACAATAAAACGACAACAAAATATTTATTCATCTTTCTCGTTGCTTTTAGATATTTCTAACACTATAAATAAGAAAATTGATCATTAATAAGTGTATCTACAACGTAAATTTACAAAATTAAATATTTTGACTGTTCCTTGTTGTTGTAGCTAATATGCCCAAATAAAATGGGTAAATAAGTCTTATTGGACTATAAACCGACAAAAAAGAATATAAAATTAACCAAATTAAGCATTTGGTTTTCTTATTACTTCCTGATACGCCCAAATAAAATTTGTAACTAAGTTTGTCTAGTCCATAACTTGATAAAATGAAATTAATCTGTTTCCTAGTTCATATGGAATTTTCCTACAATTATTATTAGGAAAAGTGATCGGTAATTATGATTGTTCAGCCAATGAATCGACACATGAAATTTATTACTCGCCTGACTACTTTTCAATATTGTCGCACCTATTATTGAGAGAAAATCATTATTGAACCCTATTTGGACCATAATCAACAAAAAGTTTATTATTTTCCCTCACTATATTTTGAAAATGCTTGCACTATTGTTAAGGATAAAACGATTGATAACTAATTAGTCAAAATAATTAGTCTAAGTTTTCTGAACAATTAATGCTTCAACGATAATGGTATTATATTTATATTTTGACATGTAATAAGAAGATTTTTTTTAATAAACTCATAATTAAACTAATATAGGTTTTTTAGGTATAGAGAATCAACAATTAAATATTTTCTTAATAGATTTTTTACATTCTTTAAAGTTACTTGTTATTCATGTAAAAAATTTCATCTATAATGTTAAAATCCAATCAAAGCGTGACTAAAAATTTTTTAAAAAAACAAATATTAACAAAAATATATAATAAAAAATGTAGAAGTATTTTTATAATGTACAATCCAATAATCAATATAAATCCTGATAATAGAAAATACAAAATACAAATGTAAACTTATTAGGACACTTGCAAATTTATTGCAAAACAATAACTCTTAATTGTCATAAAAGTTACTTGACTTTAGTGTTTAGTAAATAAGAGATTGTGCAGTAATTTTCTCAAACAAACTTTTTGGTAAGGCTGCAATTTAAGCAAACATATGAAGACAGAATCCATCGATTAAATCATTATTGCATCATCTCTGTCCTCAGTCCTCGCTGTGCTGTGGGCAATACCTTTCCATATAATCACCTTTGACTGTCCCACAAATTGACCAAAATCTTCCCAAATTACAAAAGGGTTTAATGTTGGCGTTATGATCTTTATTTTTCCACACATTTTGTGCCAATCCATTCAGAGTGCGCTCATCACTTTGCTTCTTCCTTTGCGATTTCTCAGAAGAATATCACTAATTTCCTTCCCAAAAATTACAATAAAATCTCTAATACATCGGTTTCATACCAGGATATGGTCTGAATTAATTTTTTCTGTTGTTTGTCTTTTTTTTAAAAATTTTTTAAATTTTTTTTGCTAATAGACCACAGGGCCGCCAGCCACAGCCTCCTCCCTCTTTCTCCCTTTTACCCTAGGCACTGATGGAGCCTTCCTACATAAAGCCCCTCTCTCGGGCACAGTTTCTCCAACACAAGAACCCCCTCGTCCTCTCCCTCCCTAGACAGTCTGTCAATCTTTTTCTACAAAGGGTTTTTAATAAAAATCTAGATGGTACTATATACAATCAACAACCAGCAATGCTTTCTTGCCTAAAAATCCCATTTTTTTGAGATAAAAATCCATTCTTTATGAGGTCTTGACTCATTTATCAACCAAAGTACGTTCTTTGTTGCTTTGAGAATGGCTGATAACAGCTTTGACTCCTCAGAGGGCAATGGCTTGTCCATTGATGATCCTGAAATTGCCTCTGTACTTACAGAGGAAATGGACCATCCATGGAATGATGAAGCTTTAAGCTTTGGCTATCGCAGATCAGTACCTATTGATTTGCCTTCCCTGACTGAAGAGAACTTTGTTTTGATGGTTGAGGAAGAGAAATCCCATTTGCCAAAAGATGATTATCTCGTGAGATTGAGGACAGGGGAGTTGGATATGAGCGTGAGAAGACTGGCCCTTGATTGGATTTTGAAGGTCTATGAATTAATTTCTTCAAATGGTGTTTTTGGGTTTTTGCTTTTTAAATAGTTGGAAAAAGAATTTTTTCCCCTCATTTTCAGAAAAAAGGATAAAGAGTTGCTCTGATTTTCCTATGATTGTAATATCTTTTAACATTTCATATTGTTTTCATCAGCATTCTTATTTTAAATCGTTTTTCTTAATTATTCTGCTCTTTTTTGGGAAATGTTGGTCTTCGGCATCGAGTTGTAATCAATTCCTTAAATGTTTTCCCTTCATTTGACCTTCTTAAATTAGCTTTTTTCTTGTCTGAATAGTTTTAATGACTTCGACTGTGTTGCCATAATTGAAGGTATCAGTAGGCATTGATGGTGTCTTTGGTCATTCAAAGCCTCATTTCTGGAGTGGTTAACCGGAATCTTATTTCCTTCTTTGGCTTGTCTTCATCCATTCCCTTTTAATGATGATTCCTTAACGATCATGCGTTTATAGAAGCTTAATCAATTTCATTCTTTTCTTCGTCTTTATTTTTTTCTTCTTTTTCTGCTGTGCTGATTTCTGATACATTGTTTTTGTCATTAACAGGCTCATTCCCATTATGGTTTTGGAGAACTTACAATTTATCTGGCTATGAATTATTTGGATCGCTTCCTTTCCCTGTTTGATTTGCCTGTAAGTCCACTACAGGGGCCAAGTGATATTCATATGCAGCAGCACTTTTTTTTCTAGTGTTGTTATGACATTTCTGTAACTGATCTCATTTTTGCCATTGGATATGCAGGAAGGCACTACTTGGGCAGCGCAGCTGTTAGCTGTAGCTTGCTTCTCAATAGGAGCAAAAATGGCCGAAATCAGACTCCCTCCAATTGAGTATTTACAGGTGGAAGGGGGGAAGACTGGTTGTGTTAATTCATTTGTTAATCATTGGTTGTTTCTCATTTAGATGTTAACCAAACCTTGTAAAATTTTTGTTAAAACTAAAAATATAGGTTGGAGACCCCAAATATGTTTTTGAAGCCAATACTATAGAAAGAATGGAGCTTATTGTGTTGACCACTCTGAACTGGAGGATGCATTCTTATACTCCTTATGCATACATAGACTATTTTCTTAGGAAGATAAATGTTGGTGGTGGTGATGGTAATGATCAAGAGCTTGCCTTTGATGCTTTGATTGGAAAAGCAGTCAATCTCATCTTGAGCACCATAAAAGGTCTATCTTTTGTTCTGCTGTGGAATTGATTCTCTTGTACCTTCATTGGTCCTAAAATCTTTAGAGGGTTTGATTCAGTTCTGGTGGGGGAATTGAATGCAGGCATTGACTTCTTGGAATTCAAGCCTTCTGAGATTGCTGCAGCAGTGGCAATATTTGTTGCAGAAGAAAACATACAAGCAATAGATACTGAGAAGGCAATGTCTGGTTTGATCCTAATAGAGAAGGTATTATTTGTGGTGCCCACCAGAAAAAAAAAATACAAGAATCTGCTATAATTTATAAATTTATAATATTGCACCTGTCAACTCAGTTCAAATTTTGCATCATTGATATTTACTATTAATTATTTGTTTGCTGGTGAAAATTTGCAGGAAAGAGTGCTCAAGTGCCATAAACTGCTGAAAGATTTGACATTGATGATGATGATGAGTGGGTCTACAGATACTAATATGGCTAATGCCTCTGTTTCATTAGTGCCCCACAGCCCAAATGGGGTACTTGAAGCTGCTTCCTTGAACTTTAGAAGTGATGAAGGAACAGTTGGGTCATGTCCAAGTTCTTCAAATAATACTCCAGATGATGCTAATAGGATAAAATTGGACACAGAAACTTCTCCTTTTGGCAACAACTCTCAAAAGTGAAAGAAAAAAAAAGTCATGAAATGTGAATTTTGGCTTCACATCCAAGTCCCTTCAGTCCAATCAGTTTGGTTGAATGGAAGCTTTGGTGTGTGGGGTCTTATAAAAAAACCCAAAAAAAAAAAAAAAGAAAAAGGTTTCCATGCCAGAGAGAGAGAGAGAGAGAGAGAGAGAGAGAGAGAGAGAGAGAGAGAGAATATGAGGGAAGAGTTGGGAAGAGACAGCTCCCAACTTTCATCCTTTTAGCATGAAAAGAATAGTCACCAGCTGTGAATTAATCAGGAGCTGTCAACTACTACAGAATAGCAAATGTGGATGACAAAAAGTTTTGGAAGGGCAATACAGTAATTGGCAAGGGATAATACATTTTGTTTGTAGCTTCAAATATATATAAAAAAAAAAAAAAGAGGAGAGAGAGAGAGAGATAGAGAGTAGGAGGAGAGCAGTATAGTATACAGATGGCAATATATTTGTTATATTGATATTTATTTATCCAGTAAACTATTGAAATAAAATGTACAATTTGCCCTTCCTAGTAAACCAAGATCTTATGTTACTACTATTCTTAATTGTACATTTATTAATCAGCTTACAAAAACGATTGGGAGCGAAATTGCAATTGTGCCCCTAAATTAACCCAAAAAAAAGAAAAAAATCATGTTAAGATGAATTTTTATGAGCATTTAATAAAGACCTCAGGCCAATTTACATGATTCAAAGATTTCCATTTCCATCTGGGGTGGAAATTGCCGTTTCTTCAAAGATAATGACAAATGCGGTGTCGTTTATCATGTTCCTGAGTAATAATTACTCGTCTGTCTTCTTTTGAAAAGAATTCGAAACGGTCATTCAGGGCCTCGATGCTAGTTAGGTTCATTGTCATACATGATTTTACGTGTGTATGACCAATCAACATATTTGCTTTTGCTTCTTAGCTACATAAGCTATCTTGATTTACACCAAAAAAAGAATAGTAATGCAAAGAAATTTCTTGTGGTTCTAAAACACTTGAAAATATATAATAGGAAATTCTGCAACACGTATAATTTTGCTTACTATACCTGCTCCTCCTGTAGCATTATAAACTGTATTGTTACTCTTGCTCCCGTCGGGATAAATCTGACCCCTTGTCGGAACAAGAGGGTGAAAAAGAAAAAATCCATGAGATAAGATACCTCAGATATAGCATACCACATGGTAGAAGGATCCCTTGAAAATATTTTAGGCTCCTGATAATAGGCTGTCAACGGCATGACTTCAGACCCAAGCCCAACTCAAATCCGATCCGTTTTATAAAAGCCACAAATCAAATGAAAAACTGCAGCACCCCGAGGACAAGCAATTCAATGGCTTTCCAACAAATCCAAATTGATCAACGAAATATTTAATATTTAAAATCCACGAAAGCTATATGATAAACAAACCAATATTTAATTTACCAAATTAAAGTTTGAACGGTAATCAGATATTAGTTTTGAAAAATTAATTTCCAAATTTTTGAAATTTTATACTGAATGCTTTAATTACCGGCTGATGAGTGTTTCATTCCTAACATGCAAGAAGGGAGAAAATAACGCAAAATTTTTTCCATATGTGGCCAAGTGCCATACTAAAAGTGAGCCATGTGTCTCCGGAGAGTAGGACTGTCAATGTACCAGCTTCAGACCCGAACCTAACTCGAACCCGATTCTTTTTTGATTTCTGGATTTAGGATAAATAGTAGGCCTGTTCACTTGAATCCATTTTTTATATAAGATAAAACGAGTCGGATATGAATTTATATGTTTTAACCCATTTTGGACTTGGATCTAATTAGCATAAATATTTTAATAAAAATGTATATATCATTAAAATTTATTGATAATATACTTAATTTTAATTTAAAAAGATAATTTAATTGTAGTGTTGATAAAGTTTATTTACAAATAAAACTTCTAAACTATTTAAAAATTTTATCGTATTTAATTAATTCTAAAAAATCGATGTACCCGAATTCGATTGATTGAAACTTGACCAAATTTGGATTCTGGCCAAATCTGGATTCAGATCCAGACAGTTTCATGGCAAGTCGAGTTTGGGTCTGCAATTACCAATCCTAACCTGGAACCGGTCAATTTCTGGAATTGGATCTAGGTCCACAATTACCAAATTTAGCCCGGATTCGAACAGTTTCCAAATCCGACTGTTTTTGGATCCTGTTCCTGGATTAGACCCGTTACAGTAAACAGCTTTCCCGTCTAGGGATGACAATTAGGGTAGGTACTCTCGCGGAGGGCTAATGGATAGAGATGTCAATAGACCCGGATCCATTAATATTTTTCGGGTATGGATAGGTATATAGATCCGCGATCCGAACCCATTTTATCTAATAAATTTACGAGTCGAATACAGAATATATCATTTCGACCCGTATTTGACCCGAACCCGTTTTAATTAATTAATACTTAAAAAATATATATCAATCTATCATAATTATTCATATCAATACTACATTTCTACTTTTTTCATTCTCAAATTTTTCCAACCCTAATACCCACCGCCGCACATCCCTTTTTCCCCTTTTAGAATTTTCTCTTTTGCTCTGCCTCCCGCCTCCGCCAGTGGCCAGTCCGCCGTGAAACCGGCAACGATCTCTCCATCTCCAGCTCTAAAGAAGCCCAGCTCCAGAGAAGCCCGTTGCCTGCCTCCAGTTCCAGCTCTTCCAGTTCCAGTCTCACTCTCTTCTCTTTTGCTCTGCCTCCGCCAGTCCACCGTGAAACCAAAGAGCTCTCTCCATCTCTGACGCCTGACGGTTGCAGCTCCAGAGAAGCCTAACTCTTCCAAGCTTCTAGCAGCCCAGCTTTCTTTCTCACAGTCACAAGTATTTTTTAAACATTTTTGAATACTGTAAGAGTTTGTAAAAAACATGGTGAGATGAAGGCCGGAATTCTGGTATTTTGTCTTTGTCAAAGACCGTGAATTTAAGGACCGTGAATGTGAGTAGCAGTTTGTTATTTGTGTCTACTAAATTGAGCTAAATATTGAAACTTCAGTGATGGGTTTTGATTCTCCTTCTGAATTGTGAAATTCCTGGGAACAAATGGACGAATTGAGGGAAAATGTCACGGTTGATCGGTTCTGATGTTAAGGCACAATAAATGTTGAGTGATTTTTCTCTCTTCTGTTCATATTGTATGTTATTAAATTCAGCAGAACATATTCCCCATTTAATTACTCCATTTGAATGTCCTCCCCTTTTTCTCACCTCTAGTGTATTTTATGAACTTTGTCTTTGTCTAAGCACTAGATCTTGACTTTGATATTGTCGTCTAGCTAGGTTGCCTAAAGGTTAAAGGAGCATAATGCATTATACATAAGACATACAGCCTTCATTGAACAATATTGCGTGGTAACTAATTTAGATTAGCTTCCCTCTTTCCTGTCCTCTCAATATGGAAATGTGTTATTATAAGATGTAATTTGCTCCTTGAAGATGGACTTGAAATTTAGCATAATGGTATCAGGAGATGTTAAGGAGCCTAACCGAGTCAGTTATGGTATGATCCTCTTGGAAAAAAAAATAACAATTTTCTATAGCAACACTTGCTCAACTAATAAGTTGTGGTTGATTGACTAGCGGTATCAAGAGTGACTGCTGAGAGATCTCATGGACAGGCTTCATCTGATGAACTCCAAGGAATTGTTATGACAAGTTTGTTTGGTTGAGTTACTCTAGTAAGACTAATCTACTTTCTTTCTCTTTGTTTTCTTAGAGTTATTTGGAGAAGATTTGGGTGATTCTTCTAAAGTTCTCAAGTTAGGGTGATGTATTTGAATAAGGCCAATTTGATTTCTTTTCTTATCTGATTTTTTGTTGTTTTACTTAGTAATTAGTTTACAAATATATTGTATCCTTGTTTTGTTGCAGAAGATTGTGAAACTTGAGAGCCATGAAGACTATTGTAATCGACAAGGCAGTGAGACTTCATTTGTTGGTTGATATATTTGATATTTAATGTTTGATTGGATTTTTTAGAAATTGTAGTTTGTTGGATGTCATATTGGCTTTGTTGTTAACATATGACTTTGTAGTTTGTAGATTGATTTGTGGTTGGCTTTAGAATGGTTATTATGAGTGGTTTGTGATTTAAGTTTGTGATTGGTTTTGAATAACTTTGTAATTTACTTCAAAACATCTTTCATTTGTAATTTTCGGCAAGAAAAGTTTGATTCTGCTTCTTTGGCAAATTAACTAGCTTCCCTGATTTCGCAAAGGCTTGCGCAGTCCGCAAAATGTGATACAAATCAGATTGCATTTTCAGGTGCTAAAGTTGCAGTAATAACAAGTTTTTGACGGCCTTTTTTCGAGTAGACCCGACCCGGATCCGGGACCCGTTAGGTGTGGGTCTGGTAGAGAGATTAGGAAACCCGTCAAGTATTTGGATCAGGTCCGAAATTAATACAGTATGGCAGGTCCGAGTCAGGATTTATTAATTTTGACCCGGACTCGGCCCATTGATAGGCCTACTAATGGGATAGGAGTTGGGACGGGCCGAATTCTCCCGTTAAGAAACGGAGCTAGGACACCCTTTAAAATATGTATATAGTTATATTTATATATATTTATATGTATATATAATATTTAATTCAATTAATTATACTAAATTTACTAATACATTTATACTTAATTTCTAATTAAACTTAACACAATAATACTTTTTTCTCAAAAAAATACAATAATAATTTAGTGATTGTATTTATTTCAAAAGTGAAAATTTGATTGCTTTAGTTGTATTTGTTTTATCATGTTGGATTGTATTCAAATAGTTTTTATTTGATTATTTTTATGATTTCAATTATGAAATTATAATGAATAATAATTTGTTAATGTATTGATATTTTAATACTTAATTATTTGCTAAAATTTGACTACAATAAAATTATATGACAAATTTTTATTAATCTCGCAAATGCTCCTGCAAAGAAAATGGGACGGGGTGGGGGAGACGGGCCCGTTGCCATTCCTATAAATCCCGTCTTTTCTTTTCCTCTCTCTCTTTGTTTTTTTTTCCTTTCTGGGGTCAAAGTCTTCTCTTCTGCAAGTTTTCCTCTACCCATCTGGCTTCTTTCCAAAGAAGAGATTCTTAGATGTTGCAAATCTTGTGATGGTTTTCCAACATATCTATGTTTTAATTCACAACCTTTGGTTTCCATGCCGATAGTTCGTCATCTATTCTCATCTTAACGTTGCTTTACTGCCCTTCCATCCCAACAATTCATCATCTACTCTCATCTTATAGTATTTGTTTTCCTACTCTCCATCCAAAATCTTATCTCTTCTTATCTCATGGGAGGAAGTTTTTCTTTGGCTTCCATCCAAATAACAATAAAATCTTATGATCTTTGAAAATGCTCCAGCGTTCCGCA